TTCTACTTGTTTATGCTGTATTTCACAATGAACGATGATTTTTTCTTCTCTTTAGCCAGTGAATGCAAAACACTCACTCCTTGCATTGCCTTGGTTTCTTGACTTTTCATTAGAATACATTATCTTGGCGGCGGTGGTGGTGGTGCCCAGTCTATGTATTTCGGATGGATATCCATCCGAGATATTTTAGAATATCTGGATATTCAACGCAACTGCACAGCGCCAGAGCTGCGTGCATCGCAAATAGAATCTACGGTATGTCGCGACGTATATGTGTATCAAGTGTCGCACGTACACAGTCACACTGTGTCTGTCTTTTACGTGTAGCGACATACCGTAGATTATATGTGCGACGCACACAGCTCTGGCTCTGTGCAGTTGCGTTAAATATCCAGATATTCTAAAATATCTCGGATGGATATCCATCCGAAATACATAGAGTGGTGGTGCCGGTGCTGTTACTTTTCGGTTTACAATTGTTGTTGTCACTTTTTGTCTATTTTGCCTTTGCTCAATGCATCACTTTTGACTGTTGGCAAAAACATATCCTTGGCAAATGTTATTACCGACGTGCTTGGGCTACTGGAGCAAACTAACACGTTCGCCGAAATGAACACAAACAAAATGAAGAACAACACAAAAAAAGACACATAGCTGGGAAATTCGTTCACGAAGAAAGGAAACAGCTGTCAATGTCGTTGTCACGCTGCTTCTTGCATCATATCATATCTTTTCCCGCTCGTGTGCGCACTTACTTTCCTCTTCGTCGTTTTGAATAGTTCTTTGTTTTCTATTCGCTTCGTAAATTCCTTATTACACTTGTTTTCCAATCAGGTTCATTTTTTCTTCTTCTATAATTCACAACGTTTGTGTTGTTATTGTTGCTGGTTGTTGGATGGTTGTTTGTTGTCTCAGTGGGTGCATCAAATTCAAAATTTGTCAGCCGTAACAAAGCAAAAGAAGCTTTAAATATTTTCAAAAATAAAACAATGAGCTTAACATAAACGACGTGTTTACATCTCGTTTTAGTCATCGTCCAAAATGCTTGATATGTTTATTTTAAGTTGTGTGCTCATTTGACTTTTTGTCATTGAAAAACGATGCCGACGGGATGATTTGGATTTTGCGAAAACCAGGTTATAAGCAAAAACTTATAAAACAATAATTGTTGCATGGGTTGATTTTTAAAAGTCAACCATTCTAAAGCCGATATGAAATGTGTGGCAAACTCAAAATCAAAAAACAAATGCTTCTTGTTGTTGTTCACATTTTGGAAGGGATTTCATGAATTTATTTATGTTCTTTGGGCTAACATTAGAATTGAATTGAAATAGCCACAATAAACAATGACAAGTATATTCTTTGAATATTTGATGATTTCATTGGCGAAAATGCTAGGAAAATCGTTGAAATTTCAATGGTTTGAAATTCTTGGGTACTCCACCCGTAATTTAGGTGGTTAATGGATAGGTTGTGATTTCTTCGAAAAAAGGCTGCGTACTCATAATAATTTTGCCGAAATTATAGTAGAAACAACGAAATGTCCAAATATGTGAGTGAAAATGTGATCTCAAACTTGCAATGATGTTTGGTAAATCTGGACGTGCTCAAGTCTGGAAAGGTAAGGTCTCAGGCTTCTAGAGGAGAAAATCAGGACATTCCGAAGTCCATATGGAAGGGGTAAATCCCGTGTGTATATACAATGGCATTTCATCCACGACGCTATATTTTAATATTTTTAGAAATACAGTAGAATTTTACCATAATCCAGTATATAAATCAACATTTGTTATGCTTTAACAAGAATTTCACTGTAGAAAATCACATTAAGATACATACATCGCCACTTTGTCGAAAAATAGTGAATGAAATTCGAAACTAAATGAATATATAATGGCCATCCCGGGATAGAAAGTGGTATAATCAAATATTTAAATAAAATTCGATCAAATCATGAAGATTGACGTGGTATTTTATTTTGCAAATTCGTCGTTATTGAAACACCATCCTCAAATAGAACATTCAATCCGTTAGTTTCGGAAACTATGCATGGTGTGATTCAAATAAAATGAACAATCTCGATAAACTTGTTTGTAGTCGAATGGTTATTTTTGCCCGTTTCAGCAGATTCGGAATCAAGATGAAAGGGTGAACCTTGAGCAAACGGTATTTTAATCGAGAATTTAATAAAACAAGCACTTTTTTCTATCTATATCTATTTTGTTATGTTAATGCATATCAGAGATATTCAAAAATGTTCGGTACCATCTATACGGTTTACTCATACATAAACGATTTCATTCGTTGGTGCAAGTGCATTGTGATAATCATCATCGCCGTACTACACCATAAACCGTACGTGGCAGCACCAACATCGCATACAAACTGTGCTGCATTATGATTTAACCAACTGACAACGTCGACGAATATAAATAAGAATGAGAGAGAGAGAAAAAAAAATAAAACCGAAAAAATGTTGCTAACAACACCTGTGCGTAAGCGAATCTTCTCTGCATACGGAATATAACCGCACGTTGCCGTAGTCTCTTAACACAATGGTTTTAGTTCTCGTCATTTCTTCTTTTGCCCGATTCTCATTTCTTTCATTTACCATTTGCGCGCGGGTTCATCGACTTTTCAACAGCAGCAACAGCAAAAGCAACAACAAATATAACAGAAATATTCTTCTCTCGTGGTGTTATGATTGTTTTACTTTATTTTCTTTGATTTTTCTTTCGCTCGTTGTTCTTTTCTTCTCCGGATTCTCAGCATACGGCACTTTGATTGCAACCAGTGATCATGCCTCTTTTCGTATATTTGTACAACTACGAATGTAGCATAAACAACATAATGATGGCCAGATCTTCTTTATTTTAATCGCTCTGCTCGTCTCTCTATCTCATTTGCGCACAATTTAAGCACTGAACTTTTTCTTAAGTAGTTGTGTAAAGTGTTCAGTTAATGAGCTGCGTACGAAAGTGATTGATACATGTTCTCTGATTTGAAATGACCGACGCTTGAGAATGATCAACAGCTTCAGAACCCATGAAATTTAATGCAATACGTGCGCATCAGCAACAGCATCTAGTTCCTTTTGATTTTATTATTTTGTGTCTACTGTCTACAACTATACGTACTCTATTTTTTTCGTGTTTGGCATGTCGGTGTGTTTTTTTTTTCTTCGTGGTGAACCTGATTCATTAAGTCGTTGTCAGTCGTGATTGTGTTGTGCCGCCTAGCTCTAATGCAAACCACATACCTTTTCATATTCGTGGTTTTGCATACGTATACTTTTTTTCCATTGCTGCCGGTGTTTCACCTTTAAAAAATTATGCAGCTCATTGTTTTTTTTTTATCTTCGACTTTTGGCTCGTAATTTTTGTGCAGCAGTTCAGATGAAACTCGTAAAAAAGCAAAAATTACAAACTATGTGGAAATGAAAAAGTATACGAGAGGATGAAAGAGAGAGGATGAACAAGGGAATCATGAATGCTAGCTTTGTGACTCTTTAACCCTTTTCCACTTTTATGCTATGAATTATTGCTAAATGTATTTGAGTATAATTTCAAAGTACGCCCTTTTTGAAAATGGCACGGCAGAAAAAAACACGAAATATCTGTATCGTGCTTGTACACTCTTTTGAAGATAGAAGTCATTCGTTCATAAAGAGTAAAAGAGAGAGAGAGAGGGACGAGAACAAATAACAAAAAGACAAAAACGAACGATAGAAAACCAAAATATCCTCTGATTTATGCATACTCAAAAGAATTTTACATTGTCGCCAGACAAAAATATCCCAACATGGATTTACTTTTATTAATGCTAGACATCAGCCAAATATTGCATAAAGTGGATTCTGTCACTATATGCGCAGACACACACATACACATAAAAATCCGATATGGTGCTATTTTGTGGTTTGATATCTCTTTCACTCTTTCTCGTTATGCCTCCTATTTTCCTTTTCTAATTTTCTCTCTATATCTAGTGGGGCTCTCTCTCTCTTTTTTTTTTTCTTTCTCTCTAAAAGTCGGTGCATTAGCATAAAAAAGCTATAAAATCGATTAGAGTACGTTTGGGAGATTTGACTTTGTTGCATACAAATCGAGCATCAACCGCAAATAGAACGTTGCAAAGTGGTTTTTAACTCGATTTGGATAATAAATTCCAAAATTCGAAACAAAACCATTCGATGAAATGTTTTTTTCTCTTCTTAACCATCATTTACATTGATAGCTTGGGAAATACGGTGTTTTTTTCTTCAAAAAATAAACAATGAAAAAAACACATACATTTTATGTTACACGCATCGTTTGTAAACGAATCAATTTAAAAGTTATTCATCGATGCCCTTGCCTTCGAGCAAACTATTCGATTTTTAAGCGTATGTGTTTATTCTATATGATTCTTAGCGATGTATATACACCAAATCGACTGGGAATGAGTTAGTGATAGAATTTTCTTCGGTCTTGTCTATTGTTGATGAGAAAACACACATAAAATCAGAGTGTAGAAATTAAGAAAGAACACATTAGTGTGTGCAATACAGTGGAACTGAGCTCAGGTTTTTTTTTTGGTATTAAGCATGAAGAAATCGTGATCGCGCGACTCAGACAATCTCAACAGCATTACGCTGAACATTTCTTTTCTTCTTGGGTTTTCTTTTGCGTCATTCTTCTTCATCTTCTTGGTAAGCATATCGCGTGTGTGTACGAAACCGCTATTCTTGGTCGATCAAAGTGTCTTAACCATCGTCATCGTCATTGGTATGAGTGTGGCATGTGATTGTGTTGGTCTATTTAAGTACAAAACGCAATGGTTAATACCTCCGGTAGAACATTCGTCAGATCACAACACTCAGATTATTTGTACGAGTCGTCTAAATAAGTCACATTGAAACGCGCGCGCAAACTCAGTTTTAAGTTCGTGCTATTTGTATAAAAAAAATCTTCCAAAAAAAAGTGCATCTTTTTCTTCCGATAATTTTGCATTTGGTGCGTTTTAAATCAGAATTTTATTTCATCGTTTATTGTATGCGAAAGCAATTAAAGAAACAACAAACTCGTTACCATATTCATCAAAAGAAAAAAAAACTTCAATGAATACGGCAAACAAAGCCAGAAAAAAGTGGATACTGTCGGTGCTGTAGAATAGCAAAAAGGATGATATAAAACGTGAATCTTATTTTGCGCGAGCAACGAGAAAAAAAAAAACATAAATATACTGTACATTTCCTTGGTGTGAACGAAAAGAACGTAACATAATTAATGTGTCAAACAAAAGAGCCAACAAGTAGAAAAATTCTTTAAACATAAAAAATTTCTTTTAAAAAACCGCCCGCGTTTTGGTGCTTTTTTCAATGTATATGAGTGTATGTGTTTACGAATCTTGTGAAAACGAGTCAACATTTTAATTTGGATTAATTAGAGAGCAAGTGCACGGATAGCTCGCTCAAAAATAAAGAAGAAGAAATCATCAAGCGCACAAAAAACACGAACGACAATAGAGAGTATATTTGAATATATGAAGTGAAAAAAAAAGAAGAAATCAAGAAAAAAAAACGGATTCATGCGTTAAGTGAATGTTGAACGCAAAAGCAGTGTAATTCTGGGATCGATGTAATCTCTTAATTCAAGCACATAATTATAGCGGTGAATTCAGAGTTTGCATCTCTTTCTTGTTCCGTTTTTATCAACATTATATTTTCAACAGCAGTCGCCGTCGCCACTGTAAGTTGTTTCCATTTCATTTTTCGTTTCGTTTTGGGGTTGCAAACAATTTGAAATTCTTAAGTGCATTTCGGTTCTTGTGACAAAAGCATAGACATCGTTGTTGAATTCATTTATTGCATTCACATGTTGAAACTGAAAACTTTCCAACACAAAAGACTTACATTGCGTTCTACATGCAACGACTACGATTCCGTCGAAAATTTTCAATGCTTGTGAATACATAATATTATTACATATACATATATATTTTTTTTTTGCTTCTTAAAATTCGTTCGTTTGCCGGAATAGAAGTGTTTTTATGCTTTCTCGCACACATACGCACTGAAAACTTTCGAATTTAAAGTAAAAAGAACGCGGATAAAGACTGCAAGCGAGATCAACTTAATCTGCAAGCCGAAGCAACAGAAGAAGAAGCTGAATATTAAAAACAACAAAAAAATACACGAGAACGACCTCTTCGCGACAAATGCACTCGAGCGATGGCATCACAACGCAACGAAGAAATCTGAATAAAAAAAGCATAAACGTAATGTATGAAAACGACAGTAGAATTAAATAAAAATTCACGTAGCACTCTTTAGAATGTTTTTTTTTCTTCCATTTCTACCCTCCCCAAAACAATCTCTGGGTTTCCGAATGAATTCTGAACTTCTACTTGTGTTTTTCTTTTCTTTCTTCCATTTCCTTCAATGCTTTCTTTTTCGCTGAGCAAAACGAATACGCAAAGATTGCGTAGAAGTCATATTTGAATAGTGTGTAGATTTGTATGGATTATTTTATATACATGGGTATGAGGACGCAGTATTTTGAATGAGTATGCCGGGTCATGGACTGTTGGTTTAATTTAGATTCTTTCTTCTATACAATTTTTGAACAATATCAAATGATGAAAGAGATTTTAACATTTTGCCCGCCGAACACATAGAACTTTAATGACTGAAGCAAAATAAAGAGACTGCATACGATGCGCACAATTAAGTTGATGTTACGAAAAAATGGTTCATACCGTGTCTTAACATTGTCAATTTATGTCTTTGTCTATACAATGGCATCAGTTCACATGACGCTGTTAGTCTCGAAAAAATCTGACATAATTTCGTTGTATTCTATTGAATAAATTTGCTTGCGCATGCATAGACAAAAATGAAACGATGTGCATTATTGAACTCTATGCAAAGGCATGTTACATTTCAGACAGTTCGAATGAATGTTGCAAAGGTGAAAATTACATTTCCATTTTCCATTTGAATTATTTTCAATTTTTTTCATTGAATGTTCAATGCCTGATTTTTTTCTGCTCTCATCCTTTTTGCTCTTTTTGTTTTGTATTTCATCAGCAATTTTGCACATCTTTTTGCCATAGTAAGTTGAAAAATAAAGTATTTTTTCTTTTGTATTATATCCATTCTAGTGAAAACATATTAATTCAAAGTTGATATTTTGCATGTTGTCGTCGACGTAGTCGAGTACATTTTTACCCGTTCCCCTTGGTCGAAAAGTGAACAATCACTTTGAATAGAAGCGACAAAATCAAGTATACAAGTGAAGTACGTAATGCTATATTTGATGTCAAGTGAATTTTTAAGCTTAATTTCACTTTACGGAAAATTCGGCGAACTTATATTCAGCTCAGTGTGTGTGTGTGTGTAACTCAGCATTATAATTTTATTTAAGTCTTTGTTTTTTTCTTCGTTCGTGCGCTCGCCTCTCTCTTTCTCGGTCTTTCTATCGTTTTCATTTTGTTGCTTTCGACTATAGGCCTTTTTAAAATCTATATACAAGAGAGTGGATGTTGATTGTCAAAGGAAGTGTAACGAAGAGACACTTGGCGCAATGTACCATACATGCCACGTCGTTGAATCGGATTTACATAAAATTGATGTAAATAATTTTTTTCTCTCTTGGCTTTCGTTTAACGCTACCGAATATAAGAAAGGTTCTTTTCATCATATGATCTTGAGATGCATTTTTTTTCTTTAAATACAAATAAGCCTAGGTCTCTGTCACGCGCATATTCTCACGTACTTTCTACGGACAAATGTGTCTCTTCGAAACAAATTTCATATATTTTTATTGTTGTTGTATGTCTCAAGATAGATTCATCGGTTTCCATAGACTTTCTTTATGATTTATGATGATGGTTTTATATTTCGACAGTGAATGAAAGACGAATAACATTTCCATATTTATTGTATTGCTTTTTGCAACCACCGACTGCTGAGCCGAATGTCGTTGAAGCAAATTAAGTTGCAAATTGAAAACGAGTGAATTGATATTGAAGGAAAAAAGAATAAAAACGATGAATAAAAAAAAATGACGAAATCTATACGAATGAAATTTTACCTTGCAAACGCAAGCGCCGACCGAACCAGAGACAGAAAGAGAGAAAAAAGTGAAGCAAATAATAAAAAGGAGCGATTTCAATTTTCTTAAATAAGCATGACCTTTGGCTCATTTAAATTTAAAATTGCGCGCACCGACAAGAAACACAGAGGATATTTATTCAAATGAGAAACGAGAATCGTGTCGAGTTGAGTCTACAATGGCAGGATGCCTGCCATTGAATTTCACTGAATGGGCAAAAAAGTGGGAAATTGAAATTTTTGTTTGTTCCATTTTTTGTTGTTGTTGTTGTCTCGGGCGTCCATGCACTGCCACAGAGGAATGGGAAAGCAAGACAGCCACCATTGAAGCAATTCAATTTGATGTTTTATTTGATCGATTGATCCACTCTTGAAATTAATTAAAATGTATGAGAAGTTGTAGACGCGTGATATTCACGAAAATCAATTGTGCGCATAAAAAACATTTTCTCCGCATTTTGCAACAATAAATGTTTTATCTCACATTAAACTATTGTACAATTGCGCTTTCATTCCTCTTCGCGAAAGAAGGCAAAAAAAAGTACCGCACACCAAGAAATAAAGAGTTTTGGCCTAGAGGAATGAAATGAAAGACGAAAAAAAAAACCGCCAGAACAAACGATAACGAAAAACTTTAACAACATAAATAAATTGATTGGAGAGATTTTTCGCATCTCGGTGTTGGTGTTCAATCAGACATTCTGAGCCAAGATTTTATTGTTTTGAAAGTGAGAGAAAAAGAGAGAGCGCGCGCACTCAGAATCCAAGAGAAACGAAACTCGCGTACTCATTCATATCGTTTTACTGTGCATACGGAATTGAGTACAGTGCTTTACAAATTGACCGAGATGTAAACGGGCCGAAGGAGGGTGAGTGCAAAACTGAGAGATAGAAAGAATGAAAATGAATCGACAAGAAAAATTGTATCGAGATACGATACAAAAACCACTTGAAGTAAAATTTTCGCTCAATAAGTTCAATTTACGCACGAAATCACCGAATTTATTGAAGCACGTAACATCTGTGCATTTTTCGAATCAGAAAACTACCAAATTTAACGTCAGCACAAAAGATAACACACACCGGAATAAAAAAAAATACAAGCAAAAAAGAATGGAAGAGAGATAGAAATTCGAAAACGAAGAAGAACAAAACCCAATCTCAGACTCACATACACCCATCCCGCCAAATTAATAGAGATAAAGAAGAGTCTCAAGTCATTTCGTTGAATTTCTAATTGCATTTTATGCTATTGTCTCAATTCAAGATACATTTTCGCACATTTTGTTGGAATTTTTTCTCTTGTCTACTATCTTATCGCTTCCAAAAAAATATAAATTCCATTTCTCGGGAAGTGTGCTTGACAATTCATGAAATTGGGCCGCATTTTCACATTTCAATGAGCGTTACCATTGAATTGACAATTAGCGATAGAAAATTCAATTCCGTCGTTGAATCGCAAAAATTCAATGAACGTTTTTCCAAAGAAAAAAAAATAACAACAAATATTTTACCGTGTTCGGAACTAATATTTTGAGAAACCGCACAACCGAGCAACAGATAGAAGAGGAAAAAAAATTGAAAATTTATGTCACGAATTCGTGTAGCGATCGAAAATGTGTTTAAACATTGATTAGAAGCTTTATTGTAGAAAATTTAATTTGACGCGTGAATGCGATTTCATTGAAAAAATCTGAGATAAAAGACCATAGTATACACACTGATACACACCGTTGAATATTTTCTTATTATTTTCCGTTAGTTCATGGTCAATATTGTGTATATTGAAATGAGCATCAGTTTTTGGTGATTGTGTGCACAGTGCACACTGCACGGAGATAGATTGGATCGATAAAAACAAAGGAAACATGCAAACAACTATAATAAAATGGTATAAACACAGTGGCCGTTTTTTTGTGTGTACTTCTTTTCGTAAGCAATACACCGTCAATGGAATGTGGCAGTCAACAGGAAAATGCTCGACAAACTACTGAAATTCTTTGCATCCAAAAAAAGAGAGAAAAAAACGAACGATACAACAAGCGCATTTGTTCATTTGCACACAGCACCAACAAGAGAGAATAAGTTGAGCATAAGCGAATAAGTGCAAAGTAAAAAATCTCCATTACGGTATACACGCGAGCGAAAAAAGAGAAATGAACCGCCGTACATTTTTCTCCTTCTTAAAATGTTCCTTCATTGCCATGATACTTATCGTTTCCGACGTGTTCCTATTGCGCGTTACATGAACGCTATTCACAATGTTTACACTACCAAATGAACGCGATCCCGTAAACAATTTGTAACACACAAAGAAATACGTGCATAGTATGCGTAATAATGGATTTTTTTTCTCGTTGTATCTCGCCACATCGCGAACAATGGTAAGAGCATGCAGGCACAATGACTGGTTCAAACTCTCTGTGGTAGCAAAAATGCCGCCCTGCACGCTGTCTCCTGCTTGCATCATTATTTATATAACAATGATTAAAAACAAACATGATAAATGACAACGGGAAATCACTTTAGTTCGTTGCGCTTTTTGTTTTGGGTTAATTAGTTTTGATTTGACATTTTGTTACGCGCACAAAATGCCTACACGTTTGATCGGACAGTTGATGGTATTCAGAGTGG